ATTCCTTCTCAATAGTCAAACATGCTAATCGAGGACAGTTCATGCCTCGTAGTACCAGACCACTGCAATCAAAACAGCACGCAGTTCTGTTCAGCTGCTCGTTCTCCCGTTCTGCGTGTAATGGTCCATTTTAGGCATCATCTGCCTGCAGTTCGCAGATCTCATGCCTCTATAGCCATTACCACAGGCTTCCAAGAACTTCAGCATCTTCTCCGAGAACAACAAGGTGTCCGCCAAGACCAATAATAGATCCGCTCTGCAGTTACACTTCGTGGCCAAAAACTAGAAAATATTGCCTCGTTCAATCGAACAGCACCCGCACCATTGAAACAACTGATCTCATTTGATGCTACAGTTGTAGCGCAGGCGCTTAGCCGACACTCTTCTGCCGGTCCTATGGACCGGAAGTCAGAGCGAATACCGAATGCTCTTCCCGGACGCAGTTACCTGTACTTTAGCCGGTTACATCAACACTCTCAAGTTCTGCTTACACTTTCACACTCTTAATGATTCAACGCTTTCTGCCCAGAGGACTCACATCCTTCACAATGGAAGGATCTATGTATCCTCGATGTGGACGATTACCTCATTGACACGTTAGATGGACACAACATTTTTGGAATATCTGTCTTCTAAATTCACTAATTTCATTAATAACACAAGAAATCTATTTCCTAGTAACTTCATTGTAAACACTTTACTCTTTTGTTGACGTTCTTCGCCATCCAATGTATTTATCGCACTGCTATGCGTTACATAGCCTACAAGTTTTTTTAAAAAGCACCAATGATACGCTTTCTCCCTGTGAGACTTTTCTGCAATTTTGCAGGATGGTACAAAACCTCAAATGTCTTTCTACCAAGCGTTAAATGTCTCTTTGTGAATCATGATGAATCAAGTTTTTCATTTCGGTAGATTCCTTTCTTAAGACTCATAAAAAAGCCTAGTCATAGCTAATTTCAAATATCATGTTTTGTCTTCCCTTGGCAACAGGAAATTTCTGTCCTTATAAAAGTCCTTCGCATAATAGAATCTGTGATGTCTCACTTTTAGCCCGAATAGATCAAAAAGCAGAAATTGTTTATTCTCTTAACTCTTCTTTTTCGACCCGCTTTTTCGACGAGGCATTCTTGAGAAAAGTTGCTGGATGCGACCCGTTTCATTGAGCACAGTTGGACATTGCCAAATTTTCATGCGGCAAGTGTCAATGGTTGAGCTCTGTTTCTTTGATTCACAACCTGCGTCGGCGCGATTCACGGGCACTAGTTATTTACATAGCACACAGTTCATTTGTTGCTCCAAAACGCACGGGGTCTCACTGAGTTTCCGTGTTGGGGGTTCCCTCTCGGATCACCTGTCATAAGTCCTGCCGAGTTATCCATCCTGAGAAACGGTCGCTAACCCTCTGTAGACTTCACGTACTGGCCACTATAGAAGAAGACTTGTGCGTGCGACTTCAAGGTAACGTCTTCAGTATCATCGATGCTCGATGCGTCTGTCCGTACACACTAGATACCAGTACAATTTTTGCAACCTTCCCATGAAATCCTCTTCATGGCTTTTTGCGCCTGGCCGTCGAAGAAGAGGATTGTTTTTGCTTCACCTCCCGGAATCAAATCTTAATAGAATTATCCTTTGTGACAGGACCTATGCTGGTTACGCTTTGTGGAGATGCAACCAATGCTACTGTGATTCTGGTTAACATTCCCTCCCTGTCTGTCAGAATGGTTGAGCTGATGCTAACGTTTCTTTGGTGCGGAACCTCCGATCGGCGCGATTCACGAGCATTTTTGTTATTTACGCAGCGCACAGTTTATTAACTGCTTCCAGAGGCACGGAGTCTCATTGAATTTTCGGCGCTTTGACCGACCCAATCGCCTTCAGAATCTCCTCAGAAGCGCTTGGCTCCTATCAAAAAGGTCTTGAAGTACATATAAAAGTCACTGCCAAATGTTGAGCTTGAGCTGGCGGCATTTGAAGTGAGATTGGGACCATTCATCTCCGAAATGAGCTCCAATTCGTTGGCTATGAAAAAGGCAATGCTGCCAAAACGTGGGCCAGACAAACATTGCCGCAATCTTGGATTACTGAGGAAACAGCTCCCATTATTTCTTCGCTTTTTCGTCGGGTCGCGAAAGGCATCAAATGGAGTTGGTGCCTTAGTTATGATGTTTGTCCGATAGTCAAAAGATAGTTGCTGCGCACGAGTATACTACAAATAGCCTGCGACTCTACCCCCCTATTTTTGTACTCTCTGATGAAATAACTGGGTTTGATGCGTCGAGGTTCTCGCATTGACACTTCAGTGAAATCTCCTTCTTCTTGATTGTCCTGACCCGACGTGATTGGTACAGTTGCTCAACATTGGCTTGTTTCTTGTCTGAATGTTTCCTCGCTCAAGAAGGAGTAAAAGTTAAGTTTACCAGCTCGTTTTCTTTTGACCCTCATTCATGCTTCATGAACTAAGCATGAAGTCAGATCAGTAGCTTATTTGAAAACTTCAGTGAGCTTCATAACACTTCTGGTATCCTCGATATGTAGCAGAAAGTTTTTTTTTTACTTGTTCTTTTCCGAACTGCGTTCGAAGTTATTTATTTGTTGATCCTCCTTCCCCCTCCCCCCACACCACAAAGCCTAAGGCCGCGTTCATAGCTTGCGACCATGAAGAAATGCAGAAATGAAGCAATGCGGAATCTGAGGAAATGATGAAGGCGTAATATACACATCATTTGAAGAAATGCAGAAGTGCGGAAAGTGGAAAAAAAGCGTTATATACACATCAATTTGAAGAAATGCAGAAATGCGGAAAATGCAGAAGTGCGGAAAAGTGCAGAAATGACGAAAAGCATTATTACAATTTATTTTTCAGCAATTCGGCATTTCTGCAGGTTCCGCATTTCTGAAAACAAAAAAGAAAACATTTTTGAAAACAACAAAAAAAAATAAAAGAGGTTGCACGAGAATAGCCGCAATCAGCTGGAAAATTGATGTGGAATTGGAGGGATTCTGGACAGGACCAACGCCGTAAGGTGGTTGTTTTGGGGCGCGTTTACTCCACGTATGTCAAGCGTACCATCTCTCTTTAAGAAAATTATAATTTCCTTGAGGGCGGATAATTGAAGGAATGGAGAGCGCAGTTGTGGAGAAAAAGGTTTGAATTTCTCCGAAAATTGCTAAAATGTTTAGGAAGTTGCCAAATTTAGGAAGAAATTCAGCGTTGGGGATCTATTGGGAATTCTGACTTTTGCATGCATGGTTCAAACGAAGATATTTTCCTTGAAACTCAACTGTTTGCAAATTTATAACCGTGTCAAATAATAGACGATTTCTTAAAGGCAGTTGGCACGATGATTTGGTGCTCGGCCTAAAATGCTAGTAGGGCGCTATATAGTGGGGAAATGGCGAAAGAACGGAGTGAAACGGTCAAAATCCTGCGAAAAAAAGAGCCTCCGTTCTCAATGTGTTGTAAATCGATTTTGGACGAGTTTTTCTCAATGTGTTAGAAATCGATTTTGAATCGATTAGAGCGTCAGGAACGGTCGTCCATTTGTGGGCGGGGGCGTGGCGGGCGTTTGGGTCGGTAATGTTGTGGCTTGATAGGGCCCTTATAAGGGCACCTCCCTTGGAAAAGGCATTATGCAGCGCCTGCTCAGGGTCGCGGAATTCCGTCCTGCCAGGCGTATTAATCCTACTCGTCTTGGGGGATTTATCGTGCCAACTGCCTTTAAACTGTTTCTGAAGTTTCCGGGATTCATGAGATAATTGCGTTGGGGATTTTTAAAGAACACTCCGAGCTGCTCGAAAAATCCGTTTTCTGTGTACCGTTCAAGTGGGCGTATTCGGATATCCAGGAATGCATCTAGAATGCATCCCTTCGTGGAATAGGAGCAAGCAGTAGGTGTTTTAGCGCCCATTAGCTTCATTTGTGGATGCGCCATGCCTAGGCTCCCACGCAGAGGTAATGGGATGGTGCAGTTCCACGCAATGCCTGTCTACACGAGCAGATGTGTTTACAGGATTCAGGGAGTTCCATGGCCAACCTACGCACTTGTTTACAGTGTTGTCCGTTGCGGATGATGGGGCGTGTCCGTGTCCGACGCCGCCAGTCCGCCAATTGCTGACTCTGATAAAGGAGACCAACTGCTGGAAAACGTCTGATACGAACGATATGGTAGTCCTGTCGTTTGTCGAAAAAAACAGGTTGGCTCAGCGCCAAGCGCGATCGCGGACACGCCCCATCATCCGCAGCGAACCAGGGTATGAGTTGTACTGTTTAGTCATCGACGTACTTACGAGTGATGTCGACTTATTAATATTTCAGTTATTTCGGATTAGTTTGATCAAAGAAAGTTTTGTACTATTTTTTTTACATATCCGAGTTCTCTACAAAGCAAGTTTCGCTGTACAGGACTCAGCACACTGACACCTTTGCGCTGCTCGTTACTGGCTACCGCACTCATTACGACCCCCCCCCTCTCCCAGCGGCCAAATACGACCCCCCCCCCCTGTTGGGGAATCCCCAACAATGATGTGCCCTGTACCGATAAGGTTATTCTCAGCGGGCCTACCTTGATCGATTAGGTCGGTTCTCCCATCTACGACTGGTGCTTCTCTTAGCTCCTATTTTTTTTGGCTCGGACTATGAACGAATCTGCCGTTTTCAATCGGCAAGTTTGAACTGCGCCATGACGTAGCCAACATTTTATATGACAGTTTTCAAAGTATTGGAAGCACTGAGCGTTGATGCGCTCATCAGACACATCTTCGCAGAACCTCACATTAGTTTTACCTTGCAACTTTTCTCGTTGAAGTGACCGAATAATGATTCTTCAAAAGGCAGGCAATTAGAAAGACCTCAGGCTGAATTGGTCTGTATTCCTATTGTATTTATGTACTGCTTGGCTTTCCTCTGACATCAGTCATATATCTTATATTCAAACTGATTTCTTCTATTACTATACTGCTTGACTTCTGTTACTATTATTTTTTGTTACCCAGAGATGCTCTTGTATTCGTTGGTATTGTTCCCGTTTGCACTTGCTACTCTCATACCTAGAGAACTTCTTTTCTCTGATCGAAAGTACACAGCTTTCCAGCTCAGCCCTAATGGGAGGTAGGTGATTCGCTTCAGAAGAAGTTTTCATAGCCCTGAAAATTAGTTGGAATTGTAGAATATGTACCTAGGTATGTTGCTTATATTGCGTCAGACCAGAGCAACGTGAAGAATGTGTTTGTCAAATGCACGAGCTGTAAAAATGCCCGGCAAGTAACATTTGAAAGAAGTAACGATGTTTGGGGTGAGTTCCCACTGATTTTTCCTCCATTTTCACCCTATTCGTTTCGGCGAAGAGTATTGAAGGATTCAGTATAGCGTTGAATGTCGAGCTGCGTACATCCCATCACAAATATTTTGTGTAAATACACATACAGGGGGGGGGGGCAAAAAAGTCATTTCGGCCGAGCCACATATCAACGAAGTTTTCGCAGCCCAGACAGGGGAAGTGGATATGAGTACCAGGAGTGGAAGATACCCAAGATCTTCCTCTATAAGCTGGAGCAGGCTGCCGCCAATCGCCTTCATGTACGCCAAAATATGAAGTCATCTCCAGTCGCGGCCTGACTGGAGAACACCTTTGGAATTCACGTCGCCTCCAAACAGCTGCGAAACTTCTTGAATGAAGTCATCCACAGATAGCTACCTGGAGGTCAGTACTCTTGATCTGCAAGACCTCCCACATCGAGCAGCTCCGGCAACGTCGCTACGGTCTAGGACATCATCTTCACCCCATTCACCAAGGCGCGGGTTGATGGTGTGGACCGGCCGTACCTGGAAATGGGAAGACCGATATTTTCTTTGTAGACCCCGACTGAAGGTGAGCGCTGGCGGTTACATCAAGTAACTCGAGAAGAATATCCTCCCTACATGTGGTCGCCCGTACCTTCTTGGAGACCTTGTGCTGCTACAGGTTTGGGTGCCACCACATGGAATCGAAGGGTTTTGGAAAAACTCCCGCCTACTTCGAATGGAAGGGCGTTTCGTACCTGATGAAGATGTAATATTGAAGTATGTCCCCTGACCTGAACCCACTCAATTACCTAGTTCGGGCGGACTTCAAGAGGGTGGTCTACGGTGGCGGAGAAATCGACTATCTCGCTGATCTCAGGTACCACATCGCGGTCGCGTGCCAGAATCTCTCGATGGCGCTCCTCCAGAAGGCTGTGGCGGAGTGTCATAATAGTATTTAATATGCTCTTTAATATGGTGGTAGAAATGTCCGATCAGAATTTATAAAGTGTAACTTATAGCGCCTCGAAAGTCAATGAAGGCAAAGTGACTTTTTTTTGGCCCCCTGTATAGTGTAGTTCGCTGCGGACGGTTGGGCGTGTCAGTGCGGCTGCGTTTGGCGCGGTGCCAAACTCGTTCTCCACCAGTTGTTGAAGCGGGCAAGTGACAATACTGTATCATATCCTTCGTATTACTCGTTTTCTACCACTTTTTGTCGCATGCGCGTTTCAACAAGAAGGCAGAGAACGGCTTTGAAAGGGTGACACACTCATACTGGCTGACACGCCCAACCATCCGCAGCGAACTATAGTTTATTATATTGGATGCAGATCAGGGTCGGAGTAATTGTATTTAGTCAGTACTTTGCGGCCATAATGAGTACTATTGCCGTTCAGACTACACATGGACTAGCATAGAAAATGTGATTATCTACCAGTATGACAACCATGGCGACGAAAACTGGCAGCTGTTCAAAAAAAATATATCCGAAGTTAGTTTCAAGTATTGGGTTGAGCGCACTGTGTCACGACACAGTAATCAAATATCTGACAACAATTTTTCATCATTGGAATACGCTTTGGATCACTTGGTTTGCACCTGCTTATGATAACCTACGTTCACTATCACGAAAAAATGGGACAATTCAAAAAATCGACTTTTCCGCCGAGTCATTGAGCGCTTTTGTTGCAAGGCCCCGAGGCAGGGTCGCCAACTGGCCCTGGGTCTTATCCTTGAGCTAAGGGATATAATAAAATGACTTCGGGGAATAGCGAATAGATAAATAAACAAGTGTGAGGAAAAGTATCACTTTTACAGGCAGAAATGGCTGCTAATCCGGAAAAAAGAACGGTGATTTCTGACCGTAAAACAGTGCAAGCTAAAATTATCGCCAGTAACTACAAGGATCCAAGATCGGAAGAGCGT